GCTGCATCGGATCAGTACGATGAAGTAGTCGGACCGTGGAGGAGAATGTGATTTGTTATTGGGGGCTAGCCGTTTGTGTCCGTTCATAACTTGTGATTTGCGTGCCGTGGGTCACAGTGTGTAATGGGTCGACTTTAAGCTTCAACTCCGGAGGTACCCAGGTCGATTGCTGCGGCAGGCAATCTTTGTCTTTACCACGTATTCCCTTGAGCAAGAAATTTACCTCATTGCTTCAGACTGGGGTTACTTGTTCGGTCGAGCGTCAAACTCGTAATCGAAAGGTCCTGAGTTCAAACCCATGTAGGGTGAGTTGCCTTTCCTCCTTACGAATTTTATGAATCAGTACTGCTCTGACAAATGAGTGGCGAGGAAACAGGAGAACACTGACTATGTTTGTCACAAAACTGCTGTCGATTCTGTCTTAAAAATATATCACCTCCAAACGAACGTATAAAAATGGAGATCAGCGCCGTCGCCGCTAACTTCATGAAAACAACAGTGGTAGAACTGGCCTCATCATGTATATGTAGGGAAGATCAAAACCCTTTTCCGTTGATAAAGTCCCTCATCGTCAGTCATGCATGATCGGCGTTAGGGCTTGCGCTTGCGATATCTGGCGTCTGGAAGCCGTAGCATTAAAATGTTCCAGAATGTACCGTATCATATAATGTCAGATGTATTTCTTTCCTTTTGTACACTCAGAAATGCTGTTCGTCTGCGCTGTCGTTCATGTAAATGTATATCTAAATCAGGGGTCTTGCCCAAGCTACCATTGTCGCCATATTTACGGGGTCCGTGGAAACGGGGAAAACTTTTATCATGCCTTATTGTGGTATCAATATAGACTCTGGCCTCAAATCCTCTGTTTCAGTTTCTGATAATCGCAGTGTCCCCTTGAACGAGAACTGCCGTAAAGAAGCATACGTACCCCCGTCAACGCAGATTGCCATATTCTCGTTGGCCAGCCGCTTCATGGTTCATAAAATATCTTCGTAGCTATCCTTGCGGTTCAGTAGCATTCACTATACTGTTCTTCACTGTATCTTGTGATTCGTTACATTAATCGCACGCGACGAAGGTTTAGCAATTGTTCTGACATCCTGACCACCGCCTATTCTTCAGTGGTATTCTTCACGGTTTTGACCGATACCCCCTTGACAAACTTGTGGCGTTGCGTTATGGTCAGTGCCACGGCAGAACATGAGCTACGAGGGTGTAACTCAGCCAGAGAGGAGAGGGGGTGATCTTGAGTAACATTGTAGCTGCGACAGTAAGGTTTACGGCAAAATGTTAAATGGTACACTGCATTCGCGGTGCAAGTCAAAGCCAATACCTGTTCGATTCGATTAAATTGACTGAAGTGTCTTCGGGAGAACACGAGACTTTTTCCTCCTGTCAGATCGATATATTTATACAAGTAGCAGAGATGCAAAAAACGCAAATAAAATGTCTGTTGTCACATTGTCCATGTAGTCGATGTTTGGTGACCTGTTGTACGGGCCAGGAGCAAAACCGACTGGAAGTCAACCATCCCTCACATGTGCAGATACTCGACCGCTGTGTTGAATGGCTGATATGCCGACGTCAGTACTTTCACATCGGTGAATAGCAGTATCCATCGTCTCTGTAAGTCGATGTTTTCGTTATGGCATCATATACCATCAGTGTGACATGATATGCTCTCTATATCTTATTTTATCCTTCATATGAGAAAACTCCTTTGCTCGAGAATGTTTTCTCATTACTGGGTAGATATAGAATAGGAAAATTAAATTTTAAAACAATGAATAAATTATTTTTTAACAATAATGATTTTTGTTTCCCGATCTATAATTTAAGGCAATGGTTTAAAAGGTCGATATCAGTTCCTTTACTTCCCAACGCGTTTCGGCGCCGTTATTATGTCTTTTACTACAACCTTGATAATGACGCTGCTGTACGGTAAAGAAATTTACCTAGTCTACTTCTTCTTATCCCATCG